GTCTTCATCTACCAGAATATCCCATTAACTCTCATGGCCATTTCCTGTCATGCTGCTCCAGTAACACTTGTTGATTTTAGTTCTTCATGATACAAAAATACATTTACCTTCTTCATAGAAAGTGAACTGTATCTAGATGCATAGATTAAAGATTGGCTAGGGCCTGTGAGACTACACTGAAACTTACTTTTCAGAGCCTTTCAAATACTCTAAAGCTTAGACCAGGACATGCTGGATCTGCCATAGTTTTCCCAGGTGATTTATGCTAGAGCTAAGCTCACTTGTGCCACATACACACCCCAAGTTCTAGTTTTATGTGCACTGATCACACATTAGGCTTCCCAGATGATGCTTCCCTGAACTTCAATTCCAGTGTCAACCTTATATTGCCATAACTAGATGTCTACCTCATAATGCACACATCCCATTAGAGCTCTACTGTTTGAGGTGCACTTCAACATCATTCCCGTATTCCTGGAATTACATTTTTTTCACACAGTTTTTTCAGTCACTTCACCTGGACAATTCTAGTTACAGGACCAAGGTGAACTGTGCCATAAACCAACCAATGATGCTATAGTGTGCCTTCTGACAGTCACGAAAGCCTCATTAAGTACAGATAACACGGGTAGTATCTATATCAGGTTTACATGGTCCTTCTGAGAACCAGATTTTCTTGAGCCATCTTCACAATTCCTAAAACTTGGTGAGATCAGAACAGGCTTCCTACTCTCCAAGCCATCATTAATTCTTGTCCATTGGTTCTGTGGGCCCTGTTCTTATGTTGTCCCAGAGCCCTGTGATTCTTCTACTTCTTTTCCCTGCTGCACAGGATGCTGCACATAAGCTCTACCTATTATTTGGATATGAGATTCTGGATCCGCTTCTATCAGTTGCTAGATTAAAGCACTTTGGTCTCTCTCATGATAATTATGTTAGTCTCTTGTTCTGGAACACTCTTCAAATATGATGAATACTCATTCTAAGGTTGTGTGGATGAATCGCTGTCTCAAAACCTTCACTCAAAACCAAGGTGGTCACACAAATGGCTTATTAATTCTCTGTATCACTAAATGCTAGGATATTTTTTAAGCATTCCTTTTTGTCCTACATTTTCTGGAATTCCTTTTGTACTGCTGCTGGACATATGGCTCTATTTTTAAAGGGTAGGCTAGCAACCAAATTAAACATTTACAGACCAGCACCAACTGAAGAAGATTTGGTACTGTCTGTTGTGAGTTGACTGCCTTTAAATCAAACAATTAAGCAAATGACAAAGAGATTGCCCATATTCCAACATGGAAGATTCTGTTTTAAACATCATATCCACTGTTTCCAAGTTCCATTTCTTTGGTTCTATTTTGACTGATCAAAAACTCATAATCAACAGTTAGACTTTCAACAGAGATCTCAAACTGAAACATGCTGTGTAGATCAGCTCAGGGCCAAATCCCTGGGAATCTGAATGTTGCTTCTCAAGTCATTCATTTGCACTAGACTCTATGGTGAGTCACTAAGTAGCCAGTGGTGATTGCATTCTTCTATCCAAGATGGCAGGCTCTAGAAATTGATGCCTTGGTCATATACACAAAAACACCAACAGCCTCTTTCCTGTAGTAAGGATACATCATTGACTTCCTGTACCGTTCTAATCTCATCTTTGATTCACTCACAGTTTCCAAATGTTGCTTTCAGAATTAACCCTGATGATGGCCTCATTGTGATATGGAATCAGAAACAAGAGGAATGGCAAGTTTTGTCCCAATGGACAAACGAGTTGGGAAACACACTCATCTTGAAGATTTAGAGTTTTACTGAAGTTAGAATTCCAGACTCCTGAAAATTCTTTATGCATGCCTTGGTGATGTACTAGGATATCCTGCATGCTGTCTCTGCATATTACCATTTGAAGATAGAGAAGAAACCCATTTTAAATAGATTAGTTTGAGTAGCCTTTAGACAGCCACAAGCCAGTGACATATGCCTTAGTTATTTTCAGGTCCAGTAGGGATACTTCAGTCAATGTTTTTAGCTTTAGACCACAAAGCCTATTCAGTTCTTAAACCTTCACTGCCCTCATTCTCTGAATGTGAGATATTTATTCTTTCTAAAATTGTTCCTGTTAGGTGAGTTAAATTTTGTTATAATTTAGTAGCATTTGTGAGTTTTCACCTTTTTGCAGTGTATTGGGAATAACCAAGGAGGTACAAGGGAAATCATGTATAAAATGAAAATCACATTTTCTTGTTTTTGTTTCCCTCCTCATTTTATTCCTGCAACTCATTGATACTTGTGTACTTAGTCCATTGGTGGAAGGTTCTCAAAGTATGACTATGGTTAAGAAGCAAAATTTCATTTGTTTATAATTTTTGTCTAAGTATTTGATAGTCTTGTTTAAAGTATGAAGCACAAAGAATGAAGTTAGAATTCTTTGTCATACAAATATTTCTCAGAAGCCATGCAAGTACATATTTTCTATATACTTTGGCATTGTGTCTAAGACATTAATGGAATTCCATGTGGACCAATACACTTCAAGGAAAAGACTGAGTTTGAATACTGAAAATTGCCTCTCTAATTTTAACAATAAATTCATGTGTGTTTATCACAGCTATGTGATGGATAACAGTCTTCCTGAGTGATGTCTGCCTGGCTCCAAATAACACATGTTGTCTTGTATGTAAATGCTAGATTTTAAATTTCTATATGTGTGTTTTAATACAATTACCACAAAGTTCAAGCAGCTAGTAAGAATCAAGATGGAATGATTATCCAAGGAAGCTGAAGGACAGTATAGTGTCCTAGTGAGAAAAACAGGAATGTATATTATTACGGGAATGGGAAAGAACCATAAAGGAAGGAATATGGAAATGTACACCCATACCCACCCCAGCCACTCACACACAAATACATGCAGACACACGTAGACTCACTATAGTTTGTTTGAATATCTTAATGGGAATCCTCTAATGTGGAAGCTTCTTAAATATGTACATGTATAAAAAGATATCAACATGGAGTCATTGTATAGTAGGAGAAATAATTCCCTAATAGGACATTTTATGTCACCAATAAACCTCCTGTGTCAGGAATAGGTTACGCCATTTTCAATTAGTGGCCAAATGCTTTCATACACTAACTCCCACCAACAATACAAACCATTATTGGCTATTTCCATGGTATTAGTAACTGCACAATATGATGTTTTTGCACCAGTGCCAAAGGTATTACTATTTATGTTACTGAACATTGAGAAAATGAAGCTGATATCCAAATATGTCATTCACACCTAATGAGTAAACTTCATGGTACTGGAAGTTACATATTATGAAAGGAGGATCCTAATAGTTAAGGTTGATCTGTACCAAATCCTCAGAATTAAAACAGTGAACTGCCAGGAGATATACTATTATAATAGTGTCTCAAATGTTATGTGACTAACCACAACCACATCTTGGTGGGTTTAAGGCCCACTCCAGAGACAGAGCTGATAGAAGACAATGCTGAAATTGAAAAGACTCTGAGAATTTATAGGTCATGTAATACCACCTCCTATTACTCTGCTAAAGGATCATTGAAACAAAATGATTGACACCCAAGTAAATACTGCTATATACATAGATTAGTGCTTCACTCTACAAACATGATATGGACATATTCCTGCAATAGATGGTAATTAGTACAGCGTCACAGAAATGGTCCATGTGTAGAATGTGACAGACATTGATGTATTCAATTCTGAATGGGATGCCTTCATCAATATCCCCCCTTTGAGGCTTTGGGATCTATAAAGATGAGTGGGGAAGACTAGAAACCAGAGATCATGGGTGAGTTATGAAATAGTGTCTTACAAACACAATAGGTCTGATACCATATAAGATCTCAGGACATCTTTGACAGTACACACAAGTCTTTTAGTTGATGAAACCAGATAATATGCCAATATGTAAAAGGGTAAACCACACAGAGAGTAGCTTCTCAATAAGATATTTGCAGTTGATATTTGCTGTGCAAAACAAATTTAGTTTTGTACAATATCATTAAACTGGGAGTGTACACCATACTCATTGGCATGTTCCATGATCAGGAATTGGAGATCAATACAGAACTGACACCCTGTGTTTCTCCTGTATAATTTTTTCTTTCTAGAACTTGTGTACTTTACATTTTTTGTACATACACATACACACAAAGATAAAAACCCAAACATAATCACGTACACATTCAGAAGTTGGATGGGCAAATATGTGGGGAGCAATGGAAATGAGAAAGTTGTTGTTGGGTGAAATCTTCATTAAAGTTGTTGTATTAGGAAATATTTAAAAGTAATAAATGAAATATCTCTAAAATTTATCACATATAAACTGAATATATACCTCCTCTGATACTTCATAGCTATTTGACTTGATTCAGGCTCTTTCACTCTTAATCTTCAAATCATTTTTTGTTACCAAAAGAAAACATGAGTATTTTTAGACTTACAGTTGGTTTTGACTGATATTTGGTCTTGATACACAAAAGAAACACATATGTAAGTATTTTATATTTTCCACATAGTTTTTGTTGATAATTTTCAATTTCTAGAACCATAGACTTCATTCACATAATATTAGGCTGTTTCTTAAAATCTTTCCAGAGTGATTAAATTCTGAATACTATCATATGTGGTGGGAAGCACAATGTGTTTTTTTCAGGGCTATGAAGAATACACTGTTGATTATACGTGTGTAGATTCCTGAATTTGAGTATTTGAATTAGCCTGTCTGTTTTTTGCATATCTATAAAATAGTAATAATAATTAAATAGATATCAGTATAGTGTCAGGAATGTGAGGGACTTATAACCCTGCAGTGTATAAATAAGGTTACAACTAAGCAAAGTATTATGAAGGAAATAAAAGGTTCAAGTAAGACAGGCAATGATTGGGGAGAAACTGTTCTGAACTGAAATACTTGACAAACAGAACTTTTTCTGCTGCTGAATGCTATTCAACACTTGTGTTATTTTTAACTCTGGTCAACATTTTATTCTATTTGGAAGATGTATACGATATAGGCATCTTTCAAATGAAATACTTCACCCTGGAAAATAAAGAAAAACGTTAAAAATTAGATGGGGGCCTGTGAATTGAATTTTTCTGAATCAAATATAACTTCTCCATGGGATTTAAGATGGGAATAACCAGGTCCCACCATGTTATACATCATGTTATTTGTCAGCCACAACAGCATTCTCCATCATGATTCCAGTTGAGCTTTAAAATCAACCAACAGGGTCAACTCAGGCTCAGACCTGCCATTACAAAGTGGGAGGATATGGGCAGAGTGTTATACAAGTCACCATCACTTGCAAATTGATGGCTTCTATCTTGCTAATGTAACTTCCCCAATGGTGTGGCTATTGTTTTCTCCCAGTTAGGAAGCACATTCCACCGAGATTTTGGAGCACTTTAGAACTAACTGTTAAGGAGGATGTCCTGGAAAGAGATCCAGTTTGTTGTCCCTTTAATCCTTTCACATGAGCAGAGGCCAAGGCATTTTCTAAATGTCTTACTGTTTCTCACTTTTCAAATACCATTAGTATCCAGTAGTGAACATGCTTCTTGAACATTAATACCACATACAAATATATGAACTGAAAAGTGATCTGAATAACTTTGGAAATACAGTATAAGTGGAATTGCAGTTATATCCTGAGGAATATAATTATTCACATATATAGTCATGATACTTTAAACATTTCAACCAAATATAACAAATTTTCAGGAGGTGGAACATTGTGTATATAGTTGGAAATGATGAAAATATCCATCATTCCATATGTTTTATATACACAATTTAATTTTTTGGTAATGAGGAATGAATTTAGCTTGTCATACATGTTTGGGAAGCATATACACATAAGAACATGCGTGTACACACACACACATATATATATATATGTTTTTCTTAATTAAAATTTTCTTGTCAATGTATGTAGTATATGAATGATTTTGCATTGTGCTTGTTACTTTCAGCAAACAATATATAGCTGTTTAGTTTATCTCAATTTGTCTACTAACATGATTTAGAAATGCAATTATTCTGGACAGTCTCTGTTATTATTATGACTATTTAAATTATTTCCGCTACTTTTGTATTGCAAACACTTAAAGTAAGCTTTGCCTATTATATGACTTTGTAGTTTTTCACTACTAATTTCTAACATTAATATTCATAAGTAGATCAAAGTTGCTCTTCAGACCATCTTCCAGGGGATATTCCTTTCATTGTCATGTATTTCAACGCCTTCTATACTGTTGCGTGTACTATGTTAAACACTAACACATAAACTACATAAATGAGACTATTCGGTGGAAATGACAAGGTTTAAGAGCTCAGTGTTCTGTGTACACTGACCCATTTTTTTCCCCATATTCAATTTGGACCTGGTTAAATGTATACTTATTCATGTTAGCCTCAGATTTACCAATAGGGAGGAGTGCCTCAACAAGGTGAGCAATCTCCTCAGGATCTCTTTAGCTTTTGTGTTTGAAATAATCATTGTAAGCAGCTTATGATATGGCATGTGGGAATCTGACAACACTGTTGTGCTGTTTGTGTCCATTGGACTATGAGATGCTACTTATCTTCAAGAATTCAACCTCACAGAGACCCCAACTAAGATGCTGCTGTAATCCTTATGTACATCCTTATTATGATTTAATTTGGATCATTTCTAATGAATTGCAGGATATACCATACCTGATAGTGTAGGCCATTGTGATGAAATCTGTGGTTCTGGCTTTCAGTGCAATGGCCATTAAGATCAGCTGAATGAAAAACCTTCTGTTGGAGATGCAGATACATTGCTAAAGAGTCTCTACTTTAGTTTTGGGGGTTAGCAGCCTCTTGACATTTGTTGCTATGAGCTAAAACTATATGGTAAATCTTTATGTCCAAGGCAATCGTAACTCCTTTCCTGGTTTTCCTGTTAAGAAGGATACATTTAGAAATAAATACTTAAATGCTATTTTCCCATCAGTGTCCTGAGAGCAAACAATAAACATGTTGGTATAATCATTTTCTTTCTGAATAAACTATTTGAAACTACAGTCCTCCAATTGCCAAGTGTGCTTTCAAATAACTCTTCTAGAGCATTGAAGTGAGGACTTCTTCATTTGCAACACTGTTCAGAAGGCCCCTAGATGAAATTTCCTACTCATACACAAAGCTCAGGTAGTCAACAATTCATAGTAAATAAATCATTCTCTGTATATGAGTTTAGTATTTCCATACACCTTGTATGTGTGAAATGTATTCTTTTTTGTAAGTATTTCATATTCTAAACTTTGAAGGGCATGACCTCATGTTTATATTTTTCCAACAGGCAGTAGCATACAAAAATACTGATGAAATGAATGTTTCAAAAATAGAAACAACTATCAGTATGGTAAAGTATTCTGTATAGAATCTGACACATACAGAAAGTTAAACCAATCTCTTAGCTTGTCATGGATGATGAAAACATAACTGTAGTTCATAATGTTGGTTCCTTGGATAATAAGTTCAGTTTTCATAGAGGAAGAAGTATATGATTTACACTAGTCAATAGGAATCTCCTATCTCCCTGTTTGTGAATACCACAAATGTCTAGGTACTTCTAGTATGCTCCAAAAGAACAAGAGTTTTGAACATCACAGGACTGTTTTTCCAAATATGCTTTTAATGTTTTAGCTTCTGAATCACTACATTCAAACTCATGTTAGTCTGATGACAAACACAATTATCTACTAATCAAACCAGTTACACAAAACATGCCATGGTTAAACCAAGACCCAAAAGGACAAGGATGTAATGCGCTCAATCTAATAATGGATATTAGGTTAAAATAGAGCATACACAAGTACACCGACCCACCCACAAAACTTTCAGCCAAAATGTGTCATGTCAACAGTAAATTCAGGCACATAGATTGAGTTGAGACTAAGAAAATGTACAACCAATAACAGGCACTAATTGAGACCTATCCCATGGGCAAACACCAATCCCTGGCACTATTAATGATACTTTGATAGGTGCATAGCATAATTGCCCTCTGAGAATTGTTCACAAACCAAGTGACTGAAACAGATTAAGAGACAAACAATGAAACATTGGTTCATGCACATGGAATTTGATGGAACTGTTGGGTGTAGTTATGAGAATAGTGAAACCTTTATGTCTGATTTTAAATGAAATATGTTGTAAAGCCTTTATGTCTACCTTTAAAGGAAATATAGAGCAAAGCTTTTTGCATCTCATGTTGAGTGAAAGGTTTGAGCAAAGCCTTTTCTATATTTGGTCCAATTACTTGAGTCTGAGATATTATAATGAGAATGTTTGACCTTCGAAGAAATATCATGATGAAAGGTCTGTACTTGGTGCCATGTGAGAGATTACAGCTCCACTAATCTTGGAAAAGGAAGGCATAAAAAGAGCAACTGAAGAAATTAGAAAAAATAGACCCTACTTCACAAACCTCTACTCTAAGAAACATGATAATCTAGACACTATGAATGGTTTTCTAGAGAGAAATTAAATCATAATCATGTAAACTATCTAGGGTTATCAGGAATTTGAATGGGAATCCTTGGATGTGTTAGAACTGAGAAAATTTAGGAAAGTGTCACTAATTTTGAAATGTAATCGCCATTTGTAAAAAAAAAAATTCTGACTTCTTGGGCTACTAAAAATAGAATAATCCCCCAACACTGGAAAGGTTTGGCAAGAGAAACGCTAGAACCTGCTGCAAATTTCAATGGGTTGCATGGTAGATAGATGAGGCAGGGGAGATAGCATGACAAAATAGAGCCAGTGGAAGAGAGATTTCCATAGATCAACTGCTTGGTGAAGGTTGCTTTGCTGAGGTAGAGGTGCAGGCTGTATATGATGAAGAAACTCTGGCATTGTGTCGATTGTCAGCCTTAAAAGCCTGGGACAAATTTGCAGAATCAGGGAAAAGACTTGAATTTATTTTAATTTTATGTATTTACTTTTTACAGATATAAGCAGCACACCTAGATAGGGCAGATTTACTGTTTCACTACTCTATTCTCCAGCTATGAGATCCCTTATAACTTGTGGGTTTTCCAGGTCATGTGCTTCTCCTCCATTGTCCTTCCACCTCCTGCTCCTCTGATGACTTCCTTCTCCTACACCTTGCTCCCCCATCGACTTCATCTTCTGTCGACTTCCTCTTCGTCTCTCCTTTCCTAAGCATTTTTATCCACCTCCTCTTCTACTGCCCAATCACTGGCTCTAGCCTTCATTTTACAAATTTAATTGGACATAAGGTTAACAAGTTGTCACCTGTGTCCTGACACACACTGACTCTGCAACCCCTCTCAGGAAAGTGGAACTAGCATCAAAACACAAGGCTGGGGCTATCCACAACACTTCCCCCTTTCTGTCCAATTAAAAGACTCTTTTCTCTCAGATATAAATTGAACACAAACTATATTACCATGTTGTAATGGTTAAAGTAGAAGATAGACCTAATACCCAGTCCATCATCTTTATTAACTAAATAGAACTTCTGCCATCTCCCTTAACTAAAAGACTTAGGTCTGAACCAGGCTTATGTCCTGTCTTTAGAATGAATGCCATCTGAAAACCATCCTCTTAAAGTAAATAGCCTGGGTTGGCTGTGAGATTATAAGTCTTCAACCCCATTGAAATCCAGAATGACTGAATTAACTGAAGATATGGGAAGCACAAAGCATGGCTCCTAACACTTAGTCAATTTGTACAGACCGCTGAACATCTGGACAAGTCCCTTACTTCAAAACATTGGAGCATCTGGTCTTGAGCCTTCTGACCCAGGATCATCTGACAGACCTAGTAATGAAGAATTTTTAAGGGCTGATTACTCTGTCTTAGCAGATATAATCAATCGACTATTCCACAAGTGTGTCCTTTTTCTGGACATAGTTTGTCTGTAGATGAAAAGAGACAATTCTTGCCTAGTGGCTGCCTCACCACAACTGGAGTAACACAAAAGATGCTCAATTTCTTCTTAGAATCCAAGACAGGGAAGCTGTCAGGAGCAGACAGGTCTCTAATAAAATGAACTTTTATAGAGGAATGCTTGTAACATAAATTCTGGTGACTTCTGACCTTTTTGAACATCAACTATCTACGTAAAGCAATCTGGACTGTTTTCTGTTAACTCCTTTCTGCTATTGCTAATTAAAATCTAGAAAACACCCTAATAGTAAATGCAGAGCCATGCAATTGCTATAGGCCCTTAACTCACAGGATAACCATCTCAAATCAGTTTTTAAAAAAGATAAAAAAGGACTGGGTCTAAGCCTTGTATTTCTAAATGAGTTATATAGGCAAAATGCCTGTATGAGAGTAACAACATTAATTCCACTTTGATATAAATAAAAACTCATACCAGTGAAAACCTTAAATTTATGCAAAATAAATTCAGTACCAATGTAAGAGATTATAACTTCAACTTTGTATCAATTATAGAGATTTCTATCAATGTAAGATACGCCTATGTAATGTTTCACTTAAGAGTAAATCTGCTAACTGATCCCTATTTGTCTCTTTCTATGATTTCTATATTACCATACCCCCTTTCTTTACCCCCTCCCTTTTACATAAGAAGGAAGGATAGAGAAGAGGACAGGAAAGGTAGAAATCCTTGAGATTAAGCTCTCTAGTTCCCTCCCTATCCAAAGCTACATTTGTAGAATATCCTTTAAATTACAACATATGTGTAATTTCTAAAGTAACCAGAACCATCCACCCCAACATAAGGAACTGTGATGATGATCTCCTTTTGTATGCTTCCAGCTGAATTGGGGCAAAGAATTCCCATCTCTGGGCCCAAAGGGAAATAGGATAATTGACTTAGTCAAAGGAGAGCTAGCAGGCATCATTTGCCTTGCAGTCATTATGTGCTGAGAAAGTTCATTGTTTAGCTAACTTCGTGACCATGACAGTCTGAAAGGCTTGACAGGCAAGCTAGCCATTCTGGAAATGTTCTGGAAGCAAGCCTTTAAAAGAAGTAGCTTCGACATAGTTGCAGTAGAATCAAGCATGAACCTGGAATAGTAGGTCGCAGAGTCTCAGCATCCCCAAGTATGAATCTTTTTAGGGCTGTCTTTCATTACTGTAAAGCATAATAAAATCAAAGCAGCCATTAATACCCTACCAACCAAAGAATGCCCAATGCTGAGTGATTTTAGATCAGAAATCTGCCACAGTATAAAAAAAAATGAATGTACCAGCACTCCTTAATTTATTCCAAAAGGTAGAAACATAAGGAACACTGATTCATTCTAGGAGGCCACAATGAGTCTGATAACTAACCCATACAATGTCTCAATAAAGAAAGAGAACTTCACACTAACTTTGCTTCTAAACATAGACACAAATGTACTCAGTAACATTCTCAAAATCAAAATCAGGAACACACAGCTAATACCACCTAAACCATCACCACATTCCAGATCTGAAATGTCTTGCAGATATTGGATAGATTTTCCTGATTCTGGTCACAAGAAAGTTGTCTATCATTACGTATGATATCTCCTGTATAGTTGCAACAAAACAATATAACCACCAACAATTCTATTAAATATAGGTCTATATTACCTATAACTTTTGCATACCAGGCAGAAGCCTACAGGCTCGAACTTACCCAGATTCTACAGAGAAACACTGTTTCTCAGGTTTCTACCTATTGGTCTCTATGCTTCCTTTTTTATATAATTCGTTAAACTTTGACTAAGGATGATAACACCACTAGTAAGTTGAACTCATCCATTCTAATTATTAATCAGGCAAATGTTTCACAATCAGACTTACAGACCAATAAGATCAAGACAATTTCTTCTTTTATGGTTCCCTCTTTCCAGATGACCTGACTTTATGTCATGTTGAAAAACTACTAATCCAGTTAATTGATTGCCTATCAAGGACAGAAAGC